CTTGGGGGTTCCTCTCATCACGTCACCCCATGGGGGATTGGGACATGGAGAACGAAAGTGGTTATAAATGTTCAGATGCTGCCTCCGATCCAGAAACATGGTGTTTGTTGGCAGAATGAATGAGTGAATACTTAACAAAAATTACATCAGGAATGAGGTGTCTCCTGTAAGGTGGCCTGGGAAGTCCTCGGAGGAGGTAACATGAGCAGAGATGCGGTTGAAGTAAGGCTTTTCAGGCTATAACAGGGGAGAAGACCGTAACTTAGTCATCTTTATTGTCTGCCCCATTGCCTAGTACACTTTTACGCACATAAGTAAATTTTAAGTAGAGATCGAGGATCCGACACCTGAAAGGCTGGCCACTTCTGGCTAGAGTGTTATTTATCTGCTCTGTAAATTCAAGAGTAGCTGTATCTCCAAACAAGATGACATTTTAGCCACAGACTTTTTAGCTAGGAGAAGATAAGGGTTAGAAATCAAAATCAGCTAAGAACTGTTTAAAGCATAATTTATGTTTCATTGCCTTAAATAAATCACATATATGTCTGCAAATTTAGGGTTAGGGACCATAGAATGAATTTTTAATTGGGAGGTTTTTACAAAGGTAGAAATAGATGTCACTAACTTGATTTTAAAATTACTCTCAGCCTTTTAAATGTGACATACACAAATGCTGAAAAGAACAGATATGGTTGAAGAATACAGGCAATAAGTGATAAATTAGTGTAATGAATTTTAATTGGGTAATAGCTAACAGTACAATCTTCTGTTACAGAGGCTTCTGTTGTCAGAAGCTTACAGTCAGAAGAAGAAAAGATTAATGCAAAAACCAAAAAGCAACATATTCCTTGACTTTTGGCTGAAGCCTGTACTAGTGTGACCTCTTTGGTTGAAAGACTTCTCATCCCCATATCACCAGGTCATTCGTTCCTTTGGTTTGAATAATCTCTGAGAATCCATAAAAACCACATCATTGTCAAGAAGTTAAAAGCAATTGATAAGTTGTTCTGGTAACACCTGTCAGTGAATTAACTCTGAGCACAAAACCCAGGCATTTAAGGAGTTGACAAGTATTATTAAACCTGTTTTGCAAGAGAAGAAGCTGGTTCAAAGAAGGGAAAGCTGTCAAAGATAATACCATCAGTAAGTGGCTGGGGCCTCCTGCCTGGCACACCCAGGCTCTAACCACGTGGCCTCTCATGGCAGGGAAGACTGGGGCCATCCATGAACATTTATCACTGTTCCCTTTTGTCCAACTTAAAAATGTTGTGACATTTTTAAAGCTATGAATTTGTTTTAAATTCAAATATACTTCTTATGCATGGATTTTTCTGTTTGTGTTTTCTCCCTCATTTAGAAATTTATGCTCTTTTAACTTTGAAAAGGTAGTAACAGTGTATTTCTACTAGTACTGCCTCCTGATTTTTTTTTTCTTTGAGCACTTTAATTGTCTGTCTTTGGCATCCTGCTAAAATTCATGTTTGAATTAGGGTGAATCATAGCATTGCTTTCATCCAGGGGATGCTGCTTTGTGCAGGTTCTTTCTTGAACCTCAATACAGTGTCATGATTTAAATAAGAAAAAAGCATAGGAAAGTCTAATTCAAAGTAAATTAGGATTTACAATTCAGAAATGCTGCTGCCAACTTTCTAGATTCTCTCTCTACTCCATTCTCCACTCTTCATTTTATATACTTTTTAAAAAAAAATGAAATAAGTAATAAACTATCTCAGTCTTTAACAGAAAGCAGAGCATAAGACAAAGGCTTAATACTCGATTAAGCACTACACTCTGTTCAGCACTATAACCCAGGAAGCAAGAGCAAGGGACAGGGAAGAAGGAAGAGCCTATACAAAGATATTTAACGTTTTTGAGTTGGCCACTTACACAGGCAACCTGGCTGCTCAGTCCTTCAGGACAGCCTGCGGAGCCACAGCAAAGAAACAAGGAGACCTGGAGTGGGAAGAGAGCAGCACTGGGCAAGGCTGCATTAGGTTGCACCTGTAAGAAACCAGCTGGTGCCCATGAAGAACTTGGTGACTAGAAAATGAGACAGGGAAGCCAGATGAATCTAAAGTAGCGATAAGTGATACCCCATAATACACTAAGATATTCTTGTTGTATATATTTATGTGCACAAGTATATAAAGTAAAACATAAAGTTTTACTCCCCATCCCTCTCCGTGGATACCTGTCATTTAACATTTCACTTTCCATGCATGAACATGTTATGTGAGAACATATATCTTTTTCCTTTTAAAAAAAATTAATCAAATCATACTAATCTCCTTGTCTGTGATATGTTGTTGTTGGGTTTTTTTGTTTTGTTTTGTTTTTTGCATCAAAGTTAGATATGCCATTGGCAGCAAGTTGATTTTGCTCTATAGGAAGTACATCAAGAACCACTGAATTAACATTTATTGAATTAGTGCGTGAATAAAGGAATGATGATATGACTTACAGCTACAGTTCTTGCTTGTGGAAGAGGAATGTTGCTAATATTAGGAGTACAGTGGGCAAGATCTGGTAAAACGTGGAATTGTTATTGCCAGATAATTGCCCAGTCTCCCCTGCCAGTCTCCTCCTCCTTCCCTAACCAACACCTCCACATCCTCAATTCAGAAGCAAAAATGGATGCTACACAGCAGAGACATGGAAGAGAGACAAATGGAGACTCTTACAAAGATTCCTGCAGTCAGCAAATATCTGTTAACCTCACACTAAGTGACAGGCACTTTGTATAAAATGCGGAATATGACAGACTTGGTCCCTGTCCTGATGCAGGGAAAATCTACAATTAAGGAAAGAAAGAAACAAGAGTAGGGAAAAGATACAGAAGGAAAAGAAAAGAAAATAGTAAAATACCAAAGGAGTGAAGAATTTCAATGATCACTGAATTAATACAATGTTTGTGTTAATATAAGTTGTTTAGAAATGAGTTTAAATCCCAGCCATCTGCTCCCACATCTCACACACACACACTGTCCCCCTGATTTCACCCTCTCCCACATACATATAGATCCCAATAATAATCTGGTGATATATTTTTTATGATTTCTCACAGTTAATAATAAAAAATACACTTGATTCAAGCCAGTGAATTGTGACCCAGATCTAAGTATAGATACAGTGGAAGTTGTAAGTTTCTTTAGTGACAGTCTTACTAATTAAGTTATTTGGCCTGTTTTTAGCTGCACTGGATATTTTTTCTTTTTAAGGTTGTTTTGAGTGTTGTTTGTAGCAGCATCAATAAGCCAAGAATTCACATAGTTACTCAATCACACAGATTACTCATCATTGCCTGTTCATAACAGAATCCTAAAGTGTTTAAGATTTCTGATGCAAATCAAAATCTCATCATCACTGTCATTGCTAAATTAAATGACAGGATAATAACATTACATTAAAACCATTTTTCTCTTGATTGAGTACCTTTTTCAGAAGTGAACCTTCTACATGTATATTTTTTTCATCAGTACTATAAATGCATTTAGAATCCAAGATAAAAATAGAATTTAAAAGGGGAGGAGTGGGATGTTTTCAAATTATCGATGAGTCTCTTTTGAATCTCAGCCATATTTGACAGTGCACTGCTAGGGGATGAAGTAGTTCAGCCCAATTTATTGACACTTTGAGAACTACATAAAAGAGGTTTACAGATTAATCTTGGTCTTTATTGAAACAATCGTGTGTTCTTGGCATCAGTTATATGTCATCCCGTTGCAAACAGGCTATTAGTGACCTATCAGAATTGGCATCATTCAGTTACTCTAATAGAGTAAGATAATGGTTTCAGATAGATCACAGTCTATTTGAGAAATTAATATAAATCCCTAATCTGCTAAAGCAGTGTAGGTTCTCAGTGGAACTTCATGTCTTGGCCTGCCTTTCCTATCTAAAGCTAATTAACCTGTTTGGTCACACTTAACCCTCTCTCAATCTGCTCCCTCCGGTCCTTAGCCCACTTTGTTGTGGCCAATCAGCCAGTGCCACTTGAGCCCATTTTCTTTACTTGCCCCTTTGCCAAGTAGAAGAGGAGTCAGTCATTTCCTTCCATCCTTCAAAGATTTTGTTTCTTCATATCTTCCATTTTTAATAATATGAAATTCATATCCTAGAACAAACCTCGTACCCTTTTTGCCTCATTTAGTACTATCAATCATTAAGCAATAACATTACAGTAAAAATCCTTAGTTCTTAGAGATGTCAATGATGGTATAGACTGGAACAAGAGCAGTTATGAATTCATAATTATTGAATCTGGGTGATGGGTGAATAGGGGTAAGGGAAGTCAATATACTACTTTCTCTACTTTTATGTTTGATATTTTCCATAATAAAAATTAAAAACTAAACTTAGCTCTTTAAGATCTATTTTTTAAAGTCAATATTCTTTTTGAGTCAGCACATTAACTGACATAGTATGCAGGATGGACTAGGACTAAAACCTGATCCTGTCCTCTAAATACTACACTCCCACCCACACCCAGGTAAACAAATAAGATTCTTTAGTACCTGGAACTCCAACTTCCCTCTTCTCCTTAGGTCTTGTACTGGAATATCATAATCCTAGTATACTTCCTGCTTCTTGTTACAGTGACCTGAGAAACCTGTACAGAAACATACATTAACTTCATCCCGTTTATTAAATCTCACTGTGAATAAAGCTCTGTGCTGGACATTGGGAAGGAGAATATGACACAAAGTTACCCATGAATAACCCTGATGCAGTACAAACACTAGGAACCCACATCTGAAGTAGAACTATAATAGTGAGCTGTGGGGGAGAGAGAAGGATTCTGTCAATAAGATGTACTCTTGATAGTGATGAAAACTACTTAACATTATCTTAAAGGAAAAGGTAATCTTCCCTGCTTCTATTCATAGTTCTAATTGTTAGGACAAATTAGGCCATTATACAGCCTTTTCTCTCTTCTAAAGAACTTAAATTGATTATAGTTACCAATGTGCTTTTTCTCTTCCCTTTTTAAATTATAATAGTCTTACTTCTCGTTTGCCAAAAACTGGAGAAACCATCCATGGACATAAGTTTTTTATTGGCTTTGGAGGGAAAGGTGCCAACCAGTGTGTCCAAGCTGCTAGGCTTGGAGCAAAGACATCCATGGTGTGCAAGGTAAGTGTAAAGTATAGTGGAGAGGATTCAAGAGGCAAGAATCTGGTTTCAAGACTTGAATTCAGGCCAGGTGTCGTGGCTCACATCTGCAATCCTAGCACTTTGGGAGGCCAAGGTGGGAGGATAACTTGAGGCCAGTTTAAGACCTGCCTGACCAGCATAGTGAGACCCCTTCTCTCCAGGAAAAAAAAAAAAACCAACTAGCCAGGTGTGGTGGTGCATGCCTGTATTCCCAGCTACTTAGGAGGCTGAGGCAAGAAGATTGCTTGAGCCCAGGACTTTGAGGCTGCAGTGAGTTATGATCATATCACTGTGCTGTAGTCCAGGCAACAGAGCAAGATTTGAGTTCATTGTTTTTATTTTTTTAAACCATTTTAAAATGAACAATTCAATGGCATTTCATACATTCACAGTGTTCTGCAACCACTGCTTCTATCCAGTTCCAGAACATTACCATCATTCCAATGTAAAACCCCTTACCCTTTAAGCAGTTCCTCCCCATTCCTTCCTCCCAGGCCCTAACGACCACCTGTCTGCCTGGATTTATCTATTCTGCACATTTCGTATAAGTGGAACATATATTATGTGACATTGTGTGTCTGGCTGCTTTCACTTAGTATACTGTTTTTGAGGTTGATCCACCTTGTAGCATATATCAGTATTTCTTTCCTTTTCATGGCTGAATAATATTCCATTGTATGGATATACCACAATTTGTTTATCTATTGATGAATGGACTGATGGGCACTTGGGCCATTTGCACCTTTTGGCTGTCGTGAATAGTGCTGCTGTGAACGTGCACATACATATACTTGTTTGAGTATCTATTTTCAATTCTTGTGGAAATTCATTGTTTTTAAAGATCTAAATTTAGGAGAGAGTTATCTTCCTTGTCCTTTATATTAATTTCTACTTCATTAAATCCTCTGGGAAGTAGCACTGCTCAAATAACTTAATGCTGCATTCCCTGAAGATAATGAGTTTATACGTGGAGTGTGAGAAGTGAGGGGAATTAGCCTATTCCAGTGGGTTTCTAAAGTCCATCTTCTAAACGACAGCATTAGTCATCCTGTTTTTAGCAGGTTTCACTGCAGCAATACAGCTTTTGGACACTTAGTAACTGGTGATTTACTCAACCTCTAAGTCATTTTCTTCTAATGCTGTGTTTTAGATCAGAAAGCACCCTGGGACTTAATGAATACACATAACTGATCTTTTGGCATAGTTCTGTTTTCAGATATGTAGAGAAATGAAATGTAACATACTATAGCCCTATTTTTATCCATCCTACTGAAATAATTTGAAAATAAATAAAATTGGCTGCTAAAGGTTCAAATTTTGCATTTTTCATGAAATTTTAAGGTGCTAGCATTACAGTACTAGTATAACAGGAAAGACAGATTATGGGACTTAGGGGTATCTCTTTAGGGAAAGCTAGGTTGGGTCTGCACAGTAGAGGATAAGAAAAATATGAGAAACTTAGAAGAATGAGCTCTCTCCTGTGAACTATATAGATTTAACCAAAATTTCTCTGAAATGTCATTTTTCATTGCATTTTGCACTTTTCTCTCCATAGGAGTCTTTAAATGATGTATAAACTATATAATTATCACTTCATCTGCTAATGAACTGTAGCTTTATTTCTAACTTATGATTAACATGATATAATTCTCATGGCTATCTGGTCAAAAACATCACATGAAACACAAGATTCAAAGTAAAAAACCCTCATTTGCTAAAGTTGAGCTCTTGATAGATTTAAAATATCAATGTAACTAATCAGCAATTAATTATATTCCAGGAATTATGGGGCTGTGAAAGGGGGCTGATTAAAAGTTTTAGGCCTGACCCATCCCATACTTGATTAGTTAGATATGAAGGGTTTGGGGAGTAATCAGATGGTACTGACTTAAGGGGACCTGGGAACTGGAAAGAGGATAATATAATTTCCTGGCTGGGAAAACCTAGACGTAGAATTGGAGTTGGAAGCTAGTTTCCCAAAATGGTTGCCCTGGGAAGAGGGAAGTGCCCTAGAGCTGGAGACATTAAAGAAGAGATTAGTGAACCCCTCCCTCTTTGAAGCATTGTGGAAGCTATTCACATAACCAACCGGTGAAGTCAAGATTAGATGTCCCTTGGATCTTATCCAACCCTAAGATTTTGAGATTGGTTTCATTTTAGCTCTGTTGAATTTGAGGCAGAGAGAAATGCAAAATAAATATTTGAATTATGGAACTGAACTTGGGAAATGAATCATGAAACCATACCAGTGGATGTGAGAGGAATAGAAGGCAGGTGGCTGTACTTTGGGAAATGTTCCAGTTAGAAGATTGATTAAAGCAAAAGTGCCATTTTTTTTATTCTGATCTGTGTGTGATGGTCTATGTTAGCATCTCTACAATTTTGAAAGTTCTGCACATCTACTGTGCCTTGATTTAGTCATATAATGTTTAGCCTCACAGTGGAATTTAGCCTGGTGTCTGTACAGTAAAGAATGAGAAAACATAACTTCAGCTAAAACCTATCCAGGTAACTTTGCTCAGATAACCTGGGACCTTTAGACATGGATTTACTTAAAGGCCTAAACAAATCACGTAATATTCTTCTTCAGAAGAAAAATAGTGTATCTTTTCATAATAGAAGTTATTATGATCTACCCATTCCTGGTATTTTTTCCATTGTAAAATATATTTTTATTAAGCATATTAGCCAAACGTTCTATGTAGTAGTTTTTTAAAGATGACAAGTTCCAAGTACAAACCAAAGTCATGAAATTAATCACGATAAAAATGAACAGATGGAGCAAAACAAAAATAGGTAGAAAGTTTCCTATGGTTTTCTTAGCAACATTCATTTACCTACTACTGCCCCACAACAAACTAGAATTCAAGCTCTTATGAAGTAAGATTGTTTGATGGCACAGGGAAAACATATTAAGCTAGAGAGAAATATTTGTCAAGATATTGTGACAAAAAATATAAAGCTATAGTTTTATCAATATTTGTAGAGTGATATAGGTATAATGAAACACTTCAAGTAGTTAACAGTTACATAGTCAGTGTTTGACTAATTGGCCAAGGCTAAAATCCAATAATAATTGAAGATGGTATTTTGAGATCGAAAATCAGGCAAATTTTGTAGGAAATTAAAGTCATCTTCCCAGGGCAAAGAGCCTATTAGGACATCTTTCATAGCACTTTACCTGATTTAAGTGTTTCTTCCTCCTCTATTCCGTTGAAGCCAAATGTTTAAAGAGAGGAGGAAGTTATTTCTGCACATCAGAAATTGGTAGTTCGGGAGGACCATGTTAGGGTAAAGATGCAGTGAGTGGCCCAGTATGAGCCCAAAAGCCACCAGCAGGCATGGACGCAAATGACCCAGGCAGGAATCAGCAAACTGGGAGGACCTTCGAGAAATTACATGGTCTTGTTTCCTTCAAACATATTTGAGACTATCTAAACAACTCTTTAATACAGGTAGCCATCTGTTTTCCCTTCACAGCAGTTGGGCATAAAGTTCTGTGACAGTACGTTAGGGCAGTGCTCAGGCCAGGGCCAGGCTGTAAATCTGTCACTGGTCCAGACAGTACAGGAATTGCGATTAAACAATTAGAATCATTTATAGCAATTTGACAGAATAAATTTATAGCTGTTGAATATAATAGTGATAATAACCCTCCAAAAAAATGGTGGACTAGAAGCAGCCTGACAGCACAACACTCTCAAGGAAAGAAGTGAAAATTGCAGGCAGCTGCCTACGTACAGATTGCTCTCCCCTGAAGGAACATTGTGAAATCAAAGAGAAGCAATGTGGGATACTCAGTGTGGAAAAAAAAAGGTGACGGGTGATATATTTGACAAGATCAAAGTATATGTGAGGAAGAATAGGAAGATAGAGCACTGGGGCACCGTGCTCACCCTGCAGGCACTGCGAATTGTGAGAGGACTCCCTTTACCACCACAGACCTCTACGTGGTCAGACCAGCGACCTGCTTGGAGTCTGTGCAGAGTCATTGCACCAGACAACAGGCACAGTGGGGATCAGGCAGCAGCTAAAGCCATCCTGAGCCCTCTGGCAAATGGTGCCAGTTGGAACTTGGCTGGGGAGGGAGCAGACAACTGGAGGCTCCCCCGAGCCATTACCTGTGACTGGAAGCCAGCTGCCCCTCCCCTACAGTACAATAGGATCTGAGCACTGGAATTGACTGGGGTACCACAAGCTCCAACCTGGGAGGTTTGGGGCGACTGCTTCGGCAGGTCCTGGGGGTGGTGGGGAGAACTCCGTGGTCCCTGGGCCACCAGAGCCAACCTCTACCCATGTGACTTGGCAGCCACATGGTCCCAAGCCAGTGGAACGGCCTGGCACTTGCTCAGCCCTGACTCCGCCCTCCAGGCCCCAACTGCCTCCTGCCTGCTGAGCCCTGACCCTGCCCTCCAGGCCTGATCAGCCCCACCTCCTACATGGCCCTGCTTCTACTCTGAGGCCCTGCTTTGGGCTCCTCCCCAGTCCTGGCTCTGAGGCTCTTATGTGGAGCCCTAAGCTCTACCTTTTATCCTCAAGAGTTCCTGCCAAGCCCAGGACACTGCCCCAAGACTCCAGCACTGCACCTAGTTCCCAAAACCCCACCCCAGAGCTTCTACCCCCACCACAGGGCCAAAAGAACTGCTCCAAAGTCCAACGCTCCACCAGGCCCCCCATACAACCTCAAGCCACCAGTACACCACAACCTGGTTCAAGCAAATGCCCACAGCCCAAGAACCCATGACCACTGCCTAGATAGCCTCACCCAGCTGTTACTGTCACCTCTGCAGGAAGACCCTGGATAGAGCAATCCCCTTGGTGAAAAGGGTCTCACCCAGCTCCCAACTCAAACATCCTACGACTATCTGGTGAACAACCCATCACCCAGCACAAACAGCATCCAGCACAGGCTTAAACCAAGGCAATCACAGGCATACAGACCAAAGCAGAACAGCTGCATTACAGGCTTCTAGTGCATA